AACTCAGCATGGACCCACCAAAGTGTCATTAGACAGAAATAAAATTCTTTATTTATAAAAGATATTTCTGGTCTTTGTGCAAGCCCTCAGAAGTAAGGTTATCAAAGAGAAATATGAAACAAAATCTTTTTTCAAGTGTATGCAAACTTTGACACTCATGTCCTCTTCTCTTCTGCTCAGCCTGGTCAAGGAGAGTTCAAACCTATGCTTCCCACACACAGTTACAGAATCATCCAGAAAGAACAGGCCAGGCTGGGAGGGACCACCGTGGATCACCTGGTCCCACCTCTCTGCTCAAGCAGGGTTAGTCCCAGAGTCTGTGTTCAGACAATTCTTAAATGTCTCCAGTGCAGGAGATTCCACAACCCCTCTGGACAATCTGCTCCAGTGTGCAGTCGCCCACACAGTAAAGAATCCTCTTGTGAGCATTTCAGGCATTTGCCCTAAAATCCAAAACAACAGCTTCTATGAACTGCCCAGCAGTCTTTGCAACAAAATAAATTCAGTCAGCCTAGACCACTCCTCATTTTTTACATTAATTAAAATGGCTAATGTATCTGCCTAAACAATCACTTTATGGACAGTGCTAAGTTTGTTTTCTTTGGCAAAATCTTGAATCCCTCTTGAAGAATCAAATCCTTCTTGTTCCTCTGCTCCTTCTGTCCTTCATGGAAAGTGTCCTTCTGAAGCTATGAGATAACACTTTTCCATGCCTCTGATGACAATCAAAATCATTCCTTCTGAGTCATATCCCCAGTTAAACTGTTCATGCCCAAGAGCCCCAGGGAGCTGTACTTGCTTTGGAGCAACTGTCTGCGCCGGTCCCAAACTGTGCTTCATACCTTTTCATAGGGGACGAAAAGGGCATTGATGGTGCACAAATAACTGAGAACTCCAGCAGCTATGCTCTGTGCTTATTGAGCAAACACATCACAGGAAGCAACTGGGAAATAATGAACAGATGCATGAACTGGAAAGCAAAACTAAACATCTGTGCCCTCACCAATCAAACTGCAGGGAAAACCTGGGAGAGGATCACAAATATTTACTACACGGCTAATGAAGTGCACAAGATTCTGGCAGAATCTATTAAGAGAGATGAAAACATCTTTAAAATTAGGCTATTGTCAGCCTCAAATGTGATATTAAGGTTAAGCCATAAAGAGGAATCTAAGTGGTCAGAAGCAGGTTAATGAGTTGGCAAACGTGGCTTTTTTTTTAAGAGCCTGGGTAGTCCTGAAGGAGAGTGGAATTGAGTCAACAGAGCTGTAGGAGGCTGGATGGGCTCATTTTCCTGCAGCAAAAGGAAAATGGAGATTTCTGTGCCAGTTTTGAAGGGCACTTTTAAGCACCCTTAGCAGGAGATGTGTGGGCTGGCTGCAGTCTCCAGGCAGAGGCAGTGGTGTGCTCCAGGCACAGGATGAGGCCAGGCAGGGAGGCTTGGAGGGACTGGCTGTGCTCAGATACACAGCTCTTTCTATCCACCTCCAGCCCTGAGCCCTGAGCAGGCAGCAAGGCAGAACTCCCAAGGCCCCTCTGAAGGCGGGACATGGAAGAGGATGGAAGTTATATATTGATGTATAATGGAAAATATTTTCAGTAAGGATAATGCAAAGCTTATTTTCCCTAACTTGTCTCCACAAACCATAAGTTTTTTGTTATGTGATTGACCAGCCCTTAGGACAGAAGCACCCATATCTACATTGGAGATGTCTTAACACATTTGTAAGAAAAATAAAAACAATAAATCAATTGGAGACTCTCCACTAACTTCAGAGATCACTAGGCTGGGCTTTCTCTGTCAATACTAATTGGGGGTCTCTGCTGCTTATGTGTTCATGGCTACTGCCATTGAAATGAATTGGCTGCAACACCAACATAAAATCATGCACATCACTCTGCATCTCCAGTTGTTTGAGAGCTTTATAGAGAAGTCCCTTGGGAAAGAAATTAGTAAAGAGTTCTAAACTCTCCTACTGCTCTTTGATGTCCCCAGACAACTCATGTCAGAAATGGAAGTAAATGCAGGAAGTAAAAGTCAGCAAAAACCTTCAAGTGGAATTTGCAATCATTAAATGCAGAAACTGACTGGAAATCTTTCGTATTTCAGCTTTTGTATTTAACTGACACGTGTTAAGTAAGTACAATGAAAATCAGAGTGCTTGCTCCAGGTGTTTATACAGACTTGGAGGGACTCGTGAATTCATGGAGAGGACTGTGGAGGGAGTGACGGTGGAAGGATTTGACTACTGAGCAGGAAGAAAGACAAAGGGAAGGACTGAATAAAATGCAGATCAGGAAAATCTGATAACCATGACAAATACAAACGAGCTCTGAAAGACTTTCTAAGTAGAGTCTCTAAGAACTATAACAAACTTTAATATGTTTTGGGAACAAGATAATGAGATGAGGGAGTCAGTGCTACAGAGGCTGGCATGCTTCTGATACGCATAAAAATCCTTCTCACGACAGAGTAGCCCAAGCCCTTGTCCCTTTGAATCTCCTAACAAACCCTTCTTCTTTCTGACGTTTTACCTGTGACTCAGCAAGTGGGCCAGCACTGAATCAACAGCATGGCATTCATTTTATGTGTCAGCCTTTTGCTGAGGCTTTTCTGGGTGAGTGGTGATGGGCTGGAGCTGGTGGCTCCCAGCTAAACCCCACAGTGGGAATCTCTGCTCGGATTGAAGCTTAAAAGCAATCAGTGTGATGACAAGAAACATGACAGCACTGAAGCAAGGTGCCACAGACACTTTTCCCATGGCTCAGGGGATATTTGAGATAAACCATCTGCATATGTAGAGGTGTTCCATGCTCTGAGGTTGTTTTCACCAAAAAGGCATTGAAAAGCTAAAAGAGATAAAAATGAATAGTCATCATTATGGCTTGGATTTCTGCCAGCTGCTAAGTAATTAGAGTTTTAATTGCCTGGTAATAAAAGTTTTAATTACTCAGTAATTAGTTCTTGAAGTTTCAAGTGCTTCACATGCACTCAGTTACCCCTTGGTTTCAAGACCAAAAAATGGAGTAGCTCCAGTGTGCCTCAGCAAAGCTCTGAGCAAGAGAGGAAAACATCAGGGATGGAACAGCTATGCCTGAAACCCATCCCAACTACTCTAACTACAGTATAGTTATTGCAATTCAACAAGATATTTCACTTATTTCCTAGCTAAATTAAGGCCAAAATAGACTTTGTTTCATCAAGTATGAATTGCTTCATACCTAACATTATTGTGATTCATTTTCCATATAAAGGTCCTGAGGCTCTGGTTTCTCTTTTCTTGCTTTACTAGAATTTAAATAGCATTAATAAGCCAAACTAGAACAAAGTCAGCAGTTGCCAATGGTGCAGGAAGCAGACTGAATTTAGGGTACAGAGTCTGGAAGAAACTGCATATTTATGATCTGCTTGGGTAACCCCAAAGAGGCAAATTGTCTGATGAACCATGTAGTCAGAGGGCTGGGATAACTTTTCCATAAAATAATTACAGTTGCTCGAGCCTTTTTTTTTTTTTTTTTAATGCCCAGAAGAGAGAGTTTTAAATGATGTTCAGTTTTTTTTTACAGGCAGTGTGTGAAATCCATCACAAGAACTTTTGCAAAACTAGACAAAATTGGTTTAGTAAAAATGTTTCATGGGAAAAAAAATCTGGTAGAGGAAGGGTGGGTTGAAACCTTCCAGTAATTCAAAGTAAGCTTTCTATTACATGTTACTCTTCTAAGCATGTTCTATTACATGTTACTCATAACCCTAAAAATTCTTAATTTTGACAGGAAATAATAATGACATGGAATTTTTGATAGGGAATCATAATGCCTATCGAAATTTGGGGGATTTGTTTCCTTTTTTTCTTAGACTGGTTTCCAAATTTATCTATTGGCAAACAGAATAAAGTTGAGAAGTGAAGTTTATGGGAAACATATCAACAGTAATTTAAACACAAATTTAAAATAAAAACCCTTCCTATTCCTGAATATTAGGAAAAATCCAACACATTCAAATTATGCTTACCCAAACATCAAAATCAAAATAATATACAAATAATAATTTACAAATAAAACACTAAACAGAGTTTTTTTCCTTATGCTCTGAAAGTAATTTAGACTTTTTTAACAGTACATGGATGGTTTGTAACCTGGTTAATAACTCAAAGCATTTAGGTCTTCTCTGAAGAAGCATCAGATGTTTTCTACACCCTGGACTGTCCAGGTCACTGATTCCACAAATGCTCTCCTTCACTGGGGTGCTGAGTTCAGGGACTGTACATATGTTTCCTGTCTCATTTCCCTGAGACTGCATCTGCAGTACACTTCACAGTGGTGAACAGATACCTGATGGTAGCAGGCTCTGATTTTTCCAGTTATTGCACTGCAAAGTATTAAAGTCACGCTAAGCTGGGATTCACCTCACTGGGTGTATCTGCCTTGTCTAAGCTGGTAACAGGCTCAGTGAAGAGGCACAGACATCTGGGTGAGTCACTCCTTCCAAGTGTAAATGCCCAGGACAGATGAGCTGATTACTCTGGTGGATCTGTCTCTAATAAATAAGGAGAGATCAACTTTTAGACAATTGAAACCAGGAGAAATGTAGACTCTCAGAAGCATGACAGTAGAAGAATGGACCAAAAAAAGAGTAGGTTTTGTTGAGTATCAGTACTGATTTCCCCTTTCAGATGCAGGAAAAGGACCTGTATTTCAGACAATGTTAATGCTGCAATTATCATTATTCCTTCCACCTCTGAGGGTGCAGCTCACAGTCCCGGGCTTGGATAACAAAGCACCCCATGTTAGGCACCATATGGGCCCAGCTAACCTCTATCCCTGGTAGATCAGGGTGAAAGCAACCCCTGTCACACATTTCATTTACAGTGAAAGGCCAGACTGTACAGTAAGACTTTGCAAGAGGCAGTTCTTTACTTGACTCTCCTATTGAAAACTGCTGATTCCTGTCAGTGTTTGGCACCTTCTGGAACCTCTCTTTTCCCATTGCTATTTTCCAGCTGTGCTTTTCCCAGCTGCTCAGCGATTCAAGAGGTCCTCAGCTGCCTTCCTCAACCCAGTGTTACAAAACTCTCTGGAAGATGTGGTCCTGCTTTATGAGGTACAGTATATGGTACCTTAAACCTTAACTAAGACTGGGGGTACTGCTCATACTGGGGTTATCCATTATCTGGCTTTGTGTCACTTTCATTCATCCCAGCAGTAAACCCGTGGCTGTGTGATAGTTCACCAGAAAAGTGGGAACACATAGAAACTTTCTGGTCTTCCCCACCTCCAGACAGTGCAACTGTCTACATGTGGCAAAAATCAAAGACCCAAGGACATGTTGTTAATTCACATGTACTGCCTAGAGTCTCTTGGAGAAAATAAATAGCTTTCTGTGTTCTGATTTGTACCAGTTTCTTTTAGCTGAGCTTGACATCGACAAAGGTCAGAGGATCTCCATCAAAGATGAGGAGCTGGCTTCCCTGAGGAAGGCTGCTGAGTTTGACACCATCTGCAATGAGATTATCCCCAAGAGCATCACAGAGATCCGCAGGTTGAGCAGCAGGCTGTCTTCCTACCCGAGGGTCCTCAAGAAGGAAGACTTTGAAAGGACAGTGCTGACCATGGTCTACACGGCCTACAGAGCTGCTCAGTCCCAGGGGCACCAGAAAGACACTTGGGCTGAATCCTTTGTCAATCTCTACAAAGCCCTGAAGAATGACTTGATGCTCCCATACAACAAACAGCCCTCATAATGGAAGGGGAGCAGTGGCTCAGCCGCCTGCTCTGGTTGGTGAAGGACACAGTAGCACAACCACCACTTTATTCTGTAAAGAGTTTAATAGCCTGCTTCATGAAAGATTGTTCGTTTTCTGGCTCCCTCTTGTGGAGTCTGCTTTCTTGTCCCATGCTAAATGGTGAAAAACATCTTCAGTCCTGAGAATTCGATTTTTTGTGCTGGCTCGGAGGCACGCTCTGTGACAGGAAAAGAAGGGAGTTTGTTGCACACCCAGGCAGACCCTTGTTTGAGGCAAACCCTTGACTCATCCTTTGGGTTCCTATAAACAATACATAAATATAGTGTGCTTATGCTCTCATGCTGATGTGCAAGTGCTGGAGAGTGCTGCTTTCCTAGCTGGGGAAACAAGCTCATGTTTGGCTGGCCAGTAAGAGAATATGACAGAGATGAAGGCCCGCTGTAAAAGGAAGAGGTTTCATAATGTCAGCCTTCAGAAATTATGCCACATATTATTCATTCCAAATGTTCTCATAAATAAGAACTCTGATTCACTTCATTGGGCTGAGCCAGTGTTTAATTGCAATAACATTTGTAGAAGACAAAGGGCATTGTGAAGACCAGCAGCAAACAATGCCTGTGAACGTATTCCCTGCTTCCTGGACTGTCCCAAACAGTCTGCAAATAATCTTTCATTATATGCACATGAATTTGCTTCTGCTGCTTGTTTTTTTGAAAGGAACATGTATTTGTCCTCAGTGGAATCCAAGGCAAGACAAAAGCCCTATTTAATTTAAAAATTACATGTTTTTTTCCTGGTTCTATCACTTGAACGTAGGTCTTCTAAACCTATGCTCCAGAATCCCACTGAGGCAAGGGAGGAACGTGCATTAAAACATACCTGGTGCTGAATTTAGCACTGTGGCTCTTTTTTTTTTTTTTTTTTGAACAGTAAATTGTATAATCATTTCAGTATCAGTGTGTGTGTGTGTGTGTCTGTGTGTGTGTGTGTGTGTCTGTGTGTATCTGTATTCCTGCATGTGTGTGCACATGAGTGCTGAGTACGTAGAAGAATCCCAAATTGTTCAGTCAGTGAACAATTGCATCTGACCACTTGGCAGAAAAAGCCATTTACCAATTCAGTGGTGCGAATTGTGAATTTGGGAGCAGTAAAGGAAAAACTGTAGAAATACTGCAACCAATTATAATGAACTCCCCCCCCAAAAAATGAACAGAAAATAGACAGATAAAAGAGATCTATTTTGTCAGAAGGGTGACTAGCTATAAAAATCCAGACTCTGCTAAATCAAACTACCAAATGTTTGTGCACAAGAGATACAAACTCTGTTTTTCTATTAATATTAGAGTGCTTCTGTTTCCAGACTATGGGAAAATAGGTGAACATTTATTTCATCCTTTCCTATCATCATTCTCTATTTTATTATTGCATAATATATTAAGGATACAAGTCCAAATCACAAATCCCCAACACTAAAACAGACCTAAGGATTCCAGCCCAAGTTCTGAATCATGTTTAACTACTTTTGCATCACTTGAGCAAAAGGAGTTAATTCTTCTGTGTCCCTTAAAAGGGGCATTTCAAGGATTGGAGCTGAAAAAATCCACCCAGAAGCACAGTGCAAGCAGTCAGAGCACTGGGTTTGGCAAACACCTGTGGCAATGTGGAAGCAGAGCAGCCTTGGGGCAGTCTGGCCGTGGCATTAGCAGCTGGACAAAGGGCTTATAAAAGACAGAGTCAGTCTTGTTTCCCCCAGGAGTTTCTGGATTTGTGTGAACAAGTGTGCAGGTTCATTTAGACACACAAATGTGTAGGCACAATTTTATACCTGAAGAATTTTGTTGGCCATCTTCAAAGCCTGTCTGGCAGATGGGAAAGGAAGCTGCAAACCTTCGGCACAAAACTGTGTGCTACAAATATCTCTGCTTGAACACACAGAGCTCATTACCCCGAAAGCAGTTTTATTTTCCTGCCCACATGCCCTTTAAGCCCTCAGCTTTAACACTGATGATATGCTTATGATTTCTTCCTCTGCCATGCTTTATCAACACATGAAGGGGAAATGCCACAGAGTGCAGCACTGTCTTTCCAGCTCTGCTTCTTGGCTCCCTGAAACATCACTTGCTGGAAGAGCCTGGAACCAGGCCTATTCAAAAATGCCTCTTAGCCAGATACTCCAATTCTGCAAAAATAGCAAGAAAGAGATCTAGAGCAAAAATTAATTGCTAGCAGTCACCAATCAGAGAAATACCTCCCAGCCATGCTTCTCACTCCACAACAAGACTGCCCAGCAGAGTTTACTAATCATAAAATATCCCATTAAAAAGAATTACAGATAGTTTTTAATAGCTTATAATTCCCTATGATATACATACCATACTTACAAATTGGTAACCGAAACATTTATTTCCTCAACAGAAAATAAAGGTTTAATTTTACTGTGTGTAAGGTAAGAAAAAGATTTATTCCTTGGGAAAGTGCTTGGACTGCCCAAGTTAATTTAAGAGAGACTCTCAATGTAATAATAAAAACATTCTACATAAAAGTCCTTGCCTTTGCATTGTATTGATTTCAGCAGTAGATTTATTATTTTGCAACTTCAGCTTGAGTAATTGCTTATCTCAGACTGTGAAACTCTTCATGGGAGCAACGGTACTGGAGAGAAGAGGGAACAGCCCTTCCCTCTGAAGGAGATAATAAACAGAAATGAGAGTGCCTCCTTTTTCCAGAGTTCAGGTGGAAAGGAGCACTCTGCTTTCAGGGAAGTTCTTTAGGCTTAGGGCGTTTCCCTGCCTCAGTATTGCTTAAGGTGCAGGTCTAGGTTGCCTTCTCCCTATCTCAGATTTTGTCTTATCACTTTGGACTGAATCTTCTTTATGGGCAGTTGTTATGTCACAGGTTAGAAAACCATTGCCCTAAATGTCATATTTTATCCACCCTTTAATCTTATGTATCATAAAAATATGAAATAAGATTATATTTTCCTATTCAAAATTTAAAAAAAATCATTTCACGAACATTTTAGACCTTTTTTTATTATTTACTTTGTTTCTCTGAAACTATTTTAAAAAAGTGATCCTGAGCTGTATTGGCCAACCCAAAATCTTCATATTAACTATAGCTTTTCTTCCAGATCTAGTTGTTAAATTTCACTGAAAGATCTCAAGGTTCTGTTGCTTGATGGAAGTTTTAAGGTTTAGAAATCTAAGATACAATTAATTAATACATCTAATACAATACAATTAATTTCAAGAACTCACCCTGCACATCCAACTCCTCTGCAAGTCTGCATTTGCCAGGTTTCCAGGACTCAGGGTCACAGAGGCATCACAGTCCAACCTGGGGAGTTCAGTTTGTCGCTGACTAGAAGAGGGTGGGCAGGGGATGGGCAAGCAAGTTTGGAGGGCATGGACAACCCCAGATGTATTCTTCCCATGAGATACAGAACAAATATATATTTTTCTGTCTACAGATGGTGCATGGAACCAGCCACTGGGTTCAGTCCTAAATCTCCAGTGCTTTCTGCCCCACAAAAAATCATTAATAACAGAAGAGTTGGAGAAATGTTTTTTCCCCTAGAAGACAAGAGTAGAAAGTCTAAGACTTCTCAATTTGATTTGGAACTCTATGGTTACTCAAGGCACACAAGTCAGTACAGAGATCAGCCCATGCCTTCTGAATCAGTGACATTCAAGGGTCATGATGGAAGAAACACAAAGACAAAAGATACTGTTTAGAAAACAACAATTATTTATTTATCATCAGTACAGGGACCTTGAAACAATAACAAACTGTTCAGCTGCCTAAAAAAGGTCTTTTTATATGTTTGTGGGAATGTCAGAAGGCTGTTGATTTTCTCAAATGTTCTGACTGAGTTTGGGACAATGGGTGGAGCAACTTCTACCTTCTGCAGTCCTCATTGGTGAATTAGAGCTGCCTGTAGCTTTTTAACAATTTTTTGTCTTGAGATCAAGTATAATCCATGTTGGAATTACTGCCCTGTGAATTCCAAGCTCAAGACAAAAGTAGGGTAAAGGTAGATACAAAATAGAAGCAAGGAAATGAAATCTGAAGGAACTGCAAATGGAGGGGGGGTTTGGTATTTTCTTTAGAGAAGAAGCACCTGAAAATTTACTTCTATGCATTGGAAAATAAATTGTTTAGTTTAGTAATCTTCCAGCAGAAAAGAAACTGTATTTGAGACTTTCAGACTATCAAACAGGAGGAAAAGCAGCAGCTCAAAACATCTTGCCTGGTTTATGAAAACGGAAATAACACCACCAGATGATGGAAGAAAAATACTTTGCAAAACATGGGAATAAGGATACAGTTCATCTACAACTGTGAGTCTGAATTAAAAAGAAAATTTTTCAAAAGATCACTATGCTCCAACTTGCAAACCTCTGCATGTTATTGTGTGATAATAATTCAGATGGGCTGGTGAGCCCTACGTAAACTGAATGTCTTTTTAATAAAAAAAAAAAACTTTTCAAAACAGCAGATTGAAGAATAAATAAAGTAAGAAAGATATTTTAGGTGGCTCTGGGGATAGGAGATGAGGTTGTGAGAGTTTTCTGCGGGAAATCCAGTCACAGGTGAAGGAAAACGTGGCATGAAAATTGGAATATCTGAGGAACCAGAGAAGAGTCTGAAAGAGAAGAAAGCCACCAGAAGGAGTATGGCAGTGATGAAGCAGATTCTCCGATCCAGAAATCTCTTGCTCGTTGTTCTCATTCCACTTCTGCTGCTTCCTCTTCCACTCATATACCCCAGCAGTGTAAGTATATTTTCATTTTCTTTTTACCAAAGCCTCTGAGTGCAGCAGGTAGTCCTGCTGATTAAGTGTGCAGCATGCAAAAAGAAAGACAAAGATGTCAAGAAGCACAGATCTTAGAAAAATCAAAGACTCATATTTGAAGGACTGTGAGGGTCACTGAGAAATCATCACTAGGAGCTAGAGCTACCTTGTGGTGTCACAAGAAGAGAGGAAGAGCCAGGTGAAGCTAGAAAAGTAATGCTTTAAAGCAGAAATGTTGCATCTCTTTCTAAAATAATATTGTGTGGAAGAGGGAACAGAGCAAACACATCCATGACATTTTCTTTAAAAAGAGGTCTGTAAAATGAATGCTTATAGAGTCTTTAGTTTTTAGTTATAAGTATGCATGGAGGGACTATTTCAAGTATGGGTTTATAAAGACAGCAACTCAGGTGTGGCAGGAGCTGGGACTGAGTGACAATGCGTGGCACTGACTGCTCCAGAGCAGCTGTAGGCATGTCTGCTGGAACATTGCAGCTCTGACACTGGCATACACAGCAATGCAAAGGAGGAATATTCTGTGCTTAACACACAGACCAGGGAAAGGAGTGAGTGCAGCTGGGTTCTTGACACTGCTTTGGAGATACTGATTGCCTTGACCACATGGTAAAGTCCTCTCTTTGCACATCTCTGCAGTTGTAACCCATAAAATAGCAGTGCTTTCCTACCTTAAAGACTTTAACATACCAAAATCTGCAATGTATTAAAGATCTGCAGCTTTTCCTTCCCCATAGACCTAGAAATAAATCTGTCCAAAAAGTGCAGCAATATCCACTCCATCCTCTACCCTGCTAAAGATTCATTTTTCCTTAAAGTATCAGGGGATTTATGAATACCAGTACTTTACCCCATGCAAAGGATTAGAAATTGAATAGCTGATTTCAAAAACAAAACAGTAAGATTTTGTTTGGAAAATAAACCAGGATTCATAGAAAGAAAAAGTTCCCACACCGCTGAACTGTATGTTGCACTTTGAGTTTTCCTGCTTTGAACTTCAGTGTATTTTGGCTGTTCTCTTACAGTGCTTTTTCATCTCTTTTATCTCAAGAGAAGGAATGAATAACAGATTCTTCCGGGAACAGAAAGGCTCACCCTTTCACAGTGGCTTGTCCTACAGAAGGGTTTAATCTCCCCTGATGTCACTGGAAGGGTGACATGAAAAGAGATGCTCCCTGATGCTCAGCCAAGGGGATTGTAAAGCACCTTATGGCTGCTGAGGCAGGAGTTCACTGACAGGATTGCTGCAAGAATTGCTGTTGTACAAATAAAGCTCCTCTGTGCTGTCACTCTGCACCTCGTGGTGCTGCTTTGCTGCAAAGTGATGTGAAAATCCATCCAGTGGAGATTTAGATCCACTTTGTATATATGTGAGTGACCACAGAGGGTAAAGTACAGCTGAAAATCTGACCAAGAGCTGGGCAAATGTTTCTAGTGCTGTTAAGAAAACATCTACACCAAGTAAACTCAGCTGACAGTACACTATCCAAGTGCTTTTGTGTATATTTTACTTTGTTACAACCCATTGACTATGATTACTTTTTAAATTTGAAGATTAAATGCCTGCATTTTTACAATTATATTAGGGTTATTTTGGGTTTTTTATAGAGATTGAAATTACCAGGTCATTTAAATTTGCATTTCTGCAGGGAATCAGCTTGAAGTTTCTTTGATAATGCCAGCACATCTCTGCAAAGTTCAAAGGAGCACTACATGTGTAGTGGCAAGAGAGATCAAAGGGAGCATAAGGACTCAGAATTGTTGTAGATGCTGCTAATGGGAATAAAGTCCACAGCTTCTTTTATATTATTTTGTGAAAAGAAACGGTTGGATGAAGAATAAATTTGAGAAAATTTATTCAAATTCTTTTTCCCCTTCTGGAGTTACAACTGAACTTGTACCACAGATTTGGACATACATAAATGCCTTTCAGGTAAAAAAAATGTGTGTGCTTTACAAACCGAGGGTCTTTTTCATTCTGTCCTTATTTCCTTCATTGTTTGCAGTGACATGTGAGCATTTTTGCTTCTTTTTTTGTAATCTTTATCCACTTTTTTGTCATAAAGCTACCACAGATCTCACAAGGCATGCCACGTGATTTCAGCTAGTTGAGGACAAGCTTTCTGTGACCACTGTTCCTGTGGCCACACTGCACCCAGTCAAGAACATTTGGATGACTCCTGAAAGTCACCTGTTGAGCAGAGCTGTGAGACCTGCAGTTCAGGGGATTTTGGCATCTTGATATGCCAAATCAGCAGAATGGCCTCTAAAGCATTAACATGCTCTGAAGAACCACAGTTGACATATTTTCATTCACCTTCCGTTTTATTTACCAAATAAAGCTGAAAGATGGAATTTTTAAAAATTATTATTTATTATTATTATTTATTATGTAATTATTTTCCAAGATGAAGAATGGAATTTCAACATAATCCCATAAAATCAAAGATGTTATTCCGGAGGCTGGACTACCACCTTGCAGAGCTTAACCACATATCTGCATCCAAGATATGCAATGAGCAAAAATTCCAATAGAATTTATTCTTCCTTTTAATCATTCTAAGATTCTTGAATATTTTAGTTACAGAAGTTTTATGCATGATCCTTAGTGTGGAGTTTTTAGCCATAGCTTCCTTTCAGCTCTTCTTTTAACCTAAGGGACTGACTGAAGAGAGATAATTAGATGACAGTCCCTCCAACCATCACGTGTTTTCCTTTTCCCTGCTTCAAGC